AAAAAATTTATCCGGATAATATTTTCTTATATAGAAAAAATTATCCGGATAATATTTTCTTATATAGAAAAAAATTTATTCGGATAATATTTTCTTATATAGAAAAATTATTTATCCGTATAATATTTTCTTATATAGGAAAAAATATATCCGGATAATATTTTCATATATAGAAAAAAATTTATCCGGATAATATTTTCTAATATAGAAAAAAATTTATCCGGATATTATTTTCATATATAGAAAAAAAATTATCTGGATAATATTTTCTTATATAGAAAAAAAAATTATCCGGATAATATTTTCTTATATAGAAAAAAATTTATTCGGATAATATTTTCATATATAGAAAAAAATTTATCCGGATAATAGTTTCTTATATAGAAAAAAATTTATCCGGATAATATTTTCTTATATAGAAAAAAATTTTATCCGGATAATATTTTCTTATATAGAAAAAAATGTTATCCGGATAATATTTTCTTATATAGAAAAAAATTTATCCGGATAATATTTTCTTATATAGAAAAAAATTTATCCGGATAATATTTTCTTATATAGAAAAAATTATCCGGATAATATTTTCTTATATAGAAAAAAATTTATTCGGATAATATTTTCTTATATAGAAAAATTATTTATCCGGATAATATTTTCTTATATAGGAAAAAATATATCCGGATAATATTTTCATATATAGAAAAAAATTTATCCGGATAATATTTTCTAATATAGAAAAAAATTTATCCGGATATTATTTTCATATATAGAAAAAAAATTATCTGGATAATATTTTCTTATATTGAAAAAAAATTATCCGGATAATATTTTCTTATATAGAAAAAAATTTATTCGGATAATATTTTCATATATAGAAAAAAATTTATCCGGATAATAGTTTCTTATATAGAAAAAAATTTATCCGGATAATATTTTCTTATATAGAAAAAAATTTTATCCGGATAATATTTTCTTATATAGAAAAAAATGTTATCCGGATAATATTTTCTTATATAGAAAAAAATTTATCCGGATAATATTTTCTTATATAGAAAAAAATTTATCCGGATAATATTTTCTTATATAGAAAAAAATGTTATCCGGATAATATTTTCTTATATAGAAAAAAAATTATCCGGATAATATTTTCTTATATAGAAAAAAATTTATCCGGATAATATTTTCTTATATAGAAAAAAATTTATCCGGATATTTTCTTATATAGAAAAAAATTATCCGGATAATATTTTCTTACATAGAAAAAAATTATCCGGATAATATTTTCTAATATAGAAAAAAATTTATCCGGATATTATTTTCATATATAGAAAAAAAATTATCTGGATAATATTTTCTTACATAGAAAAAAATTATCCGGATAATATTTTCTTATATAGAAAAAAAATGTTATCCGGATAATATTTTCATATAGCAAAAAAAAATTTATCCGGATAATATTTTCATATAGAGAAAATGATTTATCCGTATAATATTTTCTTATATAGAAAAAAACTTGTCCGGATAATATTTTCTTATATAGAAAAAAATTTATCCAGATAATATTTTCTTATAAAGAAAAAAATTATCCGGATAATATTTTAATATAGAAAAAAATTTATCCGGATAATATTTTCATATATAGAAAAAAATTTATCCGGATAATATTTTCTAATATAGAAAAAAATTTATCCGGATATTATTTTCATATATAGAAAAAAAATTATCTGGATAATATTTTCTTATATAGAAAAAAAAATTATCCGGATAATATTTTCATATATAGAAAAAAATTTGTCCGGATAATATTTTCTTATATTGAAAAAAAATTATCCGGATAATATTTTCTTATATAGAAAAAAATTTATCCGGATAATATTTTCTTATATAGAAAAAAATTTATTCGGATAATATTTTCATATATAGAAAAAAATTTATCCGGATAATATTTTCTTATATAGAAAAAAATTTATCCAGATAATATTTTCTTATAAAGAAAAAAATTATCCGGATAATATTTTAATATAGAAAAAAATTTATCCGGATAATATTTTCATATATAGAAAAAAATTTATCCGGATAATATTTTCTAATATAGAAAAAAATGTTATCCGGATAATATTTTCTTATATAGAAAAAAATTTATCCGGATAATATTTTCTTATATAGAAAAAAATTTATCCGGATAATATTTTCTTATATAGAAAAAAATTTATCCGGATAATATTTTCTTATATAGAAAATTATTTATCCGGATAATATTTTCTTATATAGAAAATATTTATCCGGATAATATTTTCTTATATAGAAAAATATTTATCCGGATAATATTTCTTATATAGAAAAATATTTATCCGGATAATATTTTCTTATATAGAAAAATATTTATCCGGATAATATTTTCTTATATAGAAAAATATTTATCCGGATAATATTTTCTTATATAGAAAAATATTTATCTGGATAATATTTTCTTATATAGAAAAAAACTTATCCGGATAATATTTTCATATATAGAAAAAAATTTATCCGGATAATATATTTTTATATAGAAAAAAATGTTATCCGGATAATATTTTCTTACATAGAAAAAAAAATATCCGGATAATATTTTCTTATATAGAAAAAATTTATCCGGATAATATTTTCTTATATAGAAAAAATGTATACGGATAATATTTTCATATAGAAAAAATTTATCCGGATAATATTTTCTTATATAGAAAAAAATTTATCCAGATAATATTTTCTTATAAAGAAAAAAATTATCCGGATAATATTTTAATATAGAAAAAAATTTATCCGGATAATATTTTCATATATAGAAAAAAATTTATCCGGATAATATTTTCTAATATAGAAAAAAATGTTATCCGGATAATATTTTCTTATATAGAAAAAAATTTATCCGGATAATATTTTCTTATATAGAAAAAAATTTATCCGGATAATATTTTCTTATATAGAAAAAAATTTATCCGGATAATATTTTCTTATATAGAAAAAAATGTTATCCGGATAATATTTTCTTATATAGAAAAAAAATTATCCGGATAATATTTTCTTATATAGAAAAAAATTTATCCGGATAATATTTTCTTATATAGAAAAATATTTATCCGGATAATATTTTCTTATATAGAAAAATATTTATCTGGATAATATTTTCTTATATAGAAAAAAACTTATCCGGATAATATTTTCATATATAGAAAAAAATTTATCCGGATAATATATTTTTATATAGAAAAAAATGTTATCCGGATAATATTTTCTTACATAGAAAAAAAAATATCCGGATAATATTTTCTTATATAGAAAAAATTTATCCGGATAATATTTTCTTATATAGAAAAAAATGTATACGGATAATATTTTCATATAGAAAAAATTTATCCGGATAATATTTTCTTATATAGAAAAAAATTTATCCAGATAATATTTTCTTATAAAGAAAAAAATTATCCGGATAATATTTTAATATAGAAAAAAATTTATCCGGATAATATTTTCATATATAGAAAAAAATTTATCCGGATAATATTTTCTAATATAGAAAAAAATGTTATCCGGATAATATTTTCTTATATAGAAAAAAATTTATCCGGATAATATTTTCTTATATAGAAAAATTATTTATCCGGATAATATTTTCTTATATAGAAAAATATTTATCCGGATAATATTTTCTTATATAGAAAAATATTTATCCGGATAATATTTTCTTATATAGAAAAATATTTATCCGGATAATATTTTCTTATATAGAAAAATATTTATCCGGATAATATTTTCTTATATAGAAAAATATTTATCCGGATAATATTTTCTTATATAGAAAAATATTTATCTGGATAATATTTTCTTATATAGAAAAAAACTTATCCGGATAATATTTTCATATATAGAAAAAAATTTATCCGGATAATATATTTTTATATAGAAAAAAATGTTATCCGGATAATATTTTCTTACATAGAAAAAAAATTATCCGGATAATATTTTCTTATATAGAAAAAATTTATCCGGATAATATTTTCTTATATAGAAAAAAATGTATACGGATAATATTTTCATATAGAAAAAATTTATCCGGATAATATTTTCTTATATAGAAAAAAATTTATCCGGATAATATTTTCATATAGAAAAAAATGTTATCCGGATAATATTTTCTGTAGAAAAAAATTTATCCGGATAATATTTTCTACCGAAAAAAAATTTATCCGGATAATATTTTCTTATATAGAAAAAAATTTATCCGGATAATATTTTTTATGGAAAAAATTATCCGGATAATATATTCTATAGAAAAAAATTTATGCGGTAAATATTTTCAATAAGAAAAAATATCCGGATAATATTTTTTATAGAAAATATATCCGGATAATATTTTGTGTCCTTTAAGTTTTTAGAGGAGTAATTTTTCTATTTTCCGAACATTTTATTTTTTGTTTTTGTCTAGACTAGTATTTTGTTTGAAACTTTTCTATGTTATTTGCCGTAGCTAAGTCACAAACCGTCATAGGAAAGCTTTAGCGAAAATCACGAGATAACAATGTTGGCTATGGAACGCTAGGTGGCGTTGTCATAAGGTTTCAATAAAATACTTCACAGGCTATGAATTTTCCATAGATTTTGTTTTTAAATACTTGTATTGTGCAACCATTTAAATGTTGAAAATTTTCAAAATATTTTTTTTAAAAAAAAATTGAAAATCTTTTTCAAAATTTTCACACTTTGTGGGGGAGGTACATGATGGAGTGGGTCGATATTGTCCATTTTCACATGGGTATTATACAGGGATCCTGAGCTCAGTTGGTCCTTTAAAATGTGAAATTTGATTCCGAATCTTTCAATCTAGATGGCGTTTTGAAATATTTTTCCCAAAAAAATTTTTTTTTCATTAAAACTCAATTTTGTGTTTTTTTTTTCTAAATTTGATTTATTTTCAATGATTTCTTTTCTACAGATGAATATTATTTTCGTTTTGAGTTTTTGTTATAAACATACATACAAGAATTCCGTTATAGTAAAATTAAATAATTTAGGTATTTTTTTAGATTTTCAATCCCTTAAAGAACTAACACACAATATTTTGAAACAGATTTTGACACAAAATAGAATAACAATAACATAAATTTTGAAAATAATTTTTATTTTTTTTTTGTATTTTTTAAATTTGCTCCCTTGATAGCTCTTCAATGGTGCGGGCATTGGTGAGGGTAACCCATAACGGCGATTGTATGCTGGACAGGGAATAGGCTCGATCGGTGTCCAAGGAACGTGATTTACGCATTGAGGTGGAACGTTTTTTCATGGGAATGGAACGATTTTCTGAAACACGTTTTTGCCTCTTCAGGGTGAAGTGACGTGATGGCATGGGATATTCCGATTTGGGTTGTAAATATTTAGGTTTGGGTGGAGTTTCGGCTTTTTCACCCAACATGGCCTTGTTGCCGGTGGAAATGGTGGGCGAGGGTGTGGTGGCTGCTGTTGTATTGCTGTTCGGCTCTAACGATGATGAGTTATTGGATTTCACCGGCATTTGCTAGCTACTGGACAGGGACATTTTATACGATGTTGACGACTCCATGGGTGATTCGGGGTGAAGAATTTCCGTTTGGGTCTGTTCAACATCACTGCAGCGCTCCTCCACAACTGTGTCTAATTCTAGAGAGGTGAAACCCTGGCTCAAGCTTCGTTCAGGACGTAAACTGATAGCTCTCGACGATCGGTAATCTGAAAAGTTATGGGGGAAATTTTGGATTTTTTTTTATTTGAGAAAACAACAGAGAATTTTTTTTTCAAACATTCACAAGTTCCGGCATACATTTTTGGAAAAAAAACTAAAAAAATAAATTAATTAGAAAAAATAAAAAAATTGAATTAAATTTATTTAAGAATTGAGAACAAAGGAAAATATCTTTTAAAAAAGCAAAATTTCTGGCATAAAATTTTGGAAAATTTAGAAAAAGGTTTAAAAAATATAAAAAAATTGAAAAATTAAATTAAATTAAATTTATTTGAGAACTGAGAATGAAGAAAAAATCTTTTAAAAAACTCAAAATTTCTGGTATGGAAAAAAAATTAAAAAAAAAATAACAAAAATTAAAAAAAAAAATTGAAAAAAATTAAAAAAAAAAATAAAACAAAATAAAAATTAAATTAAATTTATTTCAGAATTGAGAACAAAAAACACTCAAAAATTCTGGAATATATTTTTGGAAAAATTAGAAAAAAAATTAAAAAAAAAAATAAAAAAATGAATAAAATTAAAAAATAAGAAATTAATGAAATTAATTTGAGAATTGAGAACATTTTTTAAAACACTCAAAATTTCTGGCATACATTTTTGGAAAATGTAGAAAAAAAAACTTGAAATAAATATTAAAAAAAATTAAAAATTTAAAAAACTTAAACAAAATTAAAAATTAAATTAAATTTATTTGAGAATTGAGAACAAAGGAAAAATTTTTTAAAGCACTCAATTTTTTTAGGAAAATTTAGAAAAAAAAATAATTGAAAGAAAATGTTAAAAATTAAATTAAACTTATTTAAGAATTGAGAACAAAGGAAAAATGTTTTAAAAAATTCCAAATTTTTGGCAAATATTTTTGGAATATTTAGAAAAAAAAATTAAAAAATTAAACTAAATTTATTTGAGAATTGAGATAAAAGGAACAATTTTTTAAAACACTCAAAATTTTTGGCATTCATTTTTGGAAAATTTAAAAAAAAAATTGAAAAAAAATAATTAATTAGAAAAAAAATTGAAAAAAATGAAAAAAAAAAATTGAAAAAAAATTAAATTTTTTGAAAATTGATGACAAAGAAAAAATCATTTAGAACACTTAAAATTTTTGGCATACATTTTTGGAAAATTTAGAAAAAAAAACTAAAAAAAATTAATTAATTAGAAAAAAATTGAAAAAAAAAAATATATAAAAAAAATTGAATTAAATTTATTTGAGAATTGCGGACAAAGAAAAAATCTTTTAAAGCACTCAAAATTTATGGCATACATTTTTGGAAAAATTAGAAAAAAAAAAATTTTAAAAAATTTACAAAAAATTGAAAAAAAAAAATTAAAAAAATAAAAAAATTAAATTAAATATATTTGAGAATTGAGAACAAAGGAAAAATCTTTTAAAAAACTCCAAATTTCTGGCATATATTTTAGGAAAATTTAGAAAAAAAAATAAAAAAAAATAAAAAAGTTAAAAAAAAAAACAAAATAAAAATTAAATTAAACTTATTTGAAAATTGAGAACAAAGGAAACATTTTTTACACCCTAAAAATTTTTGGCATACATTTTTGGAAAATTTAGAGAAAATTTTAAAAAAAATATAAAAAAATTAATTAAATTTATTTGAAAATTGATGACAAAGAAAAAATCATTTAAAACACTCAAAATTTCTGGCATACATTTTTGAAAAGATTAGAAAAAAATGAAAAAAAAATTGAAAAAAAAAAATAAATATTAAAAAATTAAATTTATTTGAGAAAAAATTAAATTTATTTGAGAATTGAAAACAAGGGAAACATTTTTTAAAACACTCAAAATTTCGGGCATACATTTTTGGATAATTTAGAAAAAAAAATTGAAAACAAAAAATTAAAAAAGAATAAAATAATATTTATTTGAAAATTGAGAACAAAGGAAAAAAATTCTAAAATACTCAAAATTTCTGGGATATATTTTCGGAAAATTTAGAAAAAAAAAATGCAAAAAAAAATTTAAAAAAAATGAATTTATTTTATTCTTGGCCTGTTTTTCAATGACGATTTGATTGTGAAAGCAAAAGAATAGAGTTTTTTAAATATCTTTTTTTTAATTATTTCCAAAAAATTGAAAATCATATTTGGAATGGTGTTTTTCGTATCGTCATACAGAAACAGGACCTAAATCTTCATTCAGACAACATAAGTGGGAAGCAAAGACAACAATTTTGAAAGATTTCAATTCATATCCATAAAAAAAAAACTAAAATTAAAATAGTGCAGATTCAAATTCAACTACTTGCTAAATAATATTGGAAAAATTTTCGTAATCATAATCATACCAAATCTATATTAAAATTCATATTCATTTTAATTTAGAAAAAAATCTATTGCATAGCCCAAAAATTAGAAAATCAAAAAATTCTCTTTAAATCACTTCATCTACATTTTGAAGAAAGAAAAAAAACACGATTTCTTGATTTAAGGGAAATCTTAGGAAAAGAATTCAAAATAAATGAGTTTATGTGTGTGCGTGTGTGTTTGTGCAAACAGAAATTATTGCCATTAAAATGCAATAAAGTTTTGCTGCCCTAAAGTATGCAAGAATTTTATTCAAACTTCTTTGAATTTCATTAAAATCAACCAACCCCCACCCCTACACCCACCTAAAAGTATGCCATAAGATTACATCATTTGGTAGGGACAAAAGTTTGCTCGTAAAAATTAATTGAAACATAAACTCCTCAAGAGTAGGCATTTTGTGGAGAAAAGGAAAATGGGTGTGAATGAAAATATTTAGGGAATTTAAAATCTAGGTCTCCTTGGACCCTATACATTTCAGGACAGTTGGAGTCGAGCTAGGGGTGTCCGTCCATCCGTCTGGCTGGCACGATAACTCCCGAGGGAAGTATTCGATTTCGCCCAAACTTGGTACATAATATTATTATCAAACTTAGATCGTGTTCGGAGTTGGGTAATATTGGACCACTCCTTCTGCTACCTCCCCCACAAATGGTCAAAATTTTCAAATAAAGTAATTTACTTTGTAGACCATGACAGGTTCATCCAATCTCGGACAAACTTTGAATATTGTAATATTTTTACCACTGCTAGGTCGGGTACGAATATGGGCCATATCGACCCGCTATATCAAGTACCTCCCCCACAAAGGGTTAACATTTTGAATAATCTTAACACTTGCAAAATGTAAAACAAGAGTCCGATTGTCTTCAAATTTTGCACATCCCAATTTTTTTACTAACACAAGTTCTGGTTTCAAGGTGGGATATATCGGCCCAACCGTTCAAGTACCTGCCCCACAAAGGGGTCAACATTTTGAATAATTAAAACGTTCCTAAAAATCAAAATTACCATCCGATTCCCTTTAAATTTCACAAATCTTAAACATTTTACTATCATAAGATCTGGTGTAAAGATGGAATATATCGGACAACCCCTTCTGGTACCTCCCCCTCAAAGGGGTCAAAATTTTTAATACTTCCAACTCTTATAAAATGCGGAATTTGCCCCCGATTATCTTCAAATTTCACACAACTGAATACTTTTATCAGCACAGGATTTGGTCTGAAGATGGTAGATATCGGCCCACCCCTTCAGGTACCTCCCCCACACAGGGGTCAAAATTTTGAATAAAAATGAAGCTGATAAAATGCGATATTAACATCCGATTCTTCCCAAATGTTACACATCTCAATATTTTTACTTACACAAAATCTGGTGTGAAAGTGTGATACATTGGTCCACCCCTTCTGGTACCTCCCTCACAAAGGGGTCAAAATTTTCAATATTTCTAACTCTTATAAAATCTGAAATAAGCATTCGATTCTCTTTAAATTTCACAAAAGACAATATTTTTACTACTACAAGATCTGGTGTGAAGCTGGAATATATGGGCTCACCCCTTCTGGTACCTTCCCCACAAAAGGGGTTAAAATTTTGAATATTTCTAACTCTTGTAAAATGTGAAATAAGCAACCGATTCTCTTCAAATTTCATACATCCCAATATTTTTACTAACACATAAGCTAGTGTGAAAATGGGATATATTGGTCCACCCCTTCTGGTACCTCCCACACAAAGGGGTCAAAATTTTGAATAATTATAACTCTTATAAAATGTGAAATTAAGATCCGATTCTCTTCAAATTTCATACATACCAATATTTCTGTCAGCACAAAGTTATGTGTGAAGCTGGAATATATCGGACCACCCCTTCAGGTACCTCCCCCACAAAGGGTTCTAAATTTTGAATAATTATAACTCTTATAAAATACGAAATTTGCTTGCGATTATATTTAAATTTCGTATATCCTAATGTTTCCACTAACACAAAATCTGGTGTGAAACTGGAATATATCAGACCACCCCTTCTGGTACCTCCCCACAAAGGGGTTAGATTTTTGAATAATTAAAACTCTTATAAATGAAATTAGCATCCGATTGTCCTCAAATTTGACATAAAGAAATATTTTTACCACTACCAAGTCTGGTGTAAAGATGGAGTATATCGGTCCACTCCTTCTGGTACCTCCCCCACAAAGGGGTCAAAATTTTAAATAATTAAAACTCTCATAACAGGAGAAGTAAGCACCCTATTATCTTCAAATTTCACACATACTAATATCTTTACAAACACAATATTAGGTGTGAAGATGGAATATATGGGACCACCCTTTCTGGTACCTCCCTCACAAAGGGGTCAAAATTTTGAATATTTATAACTCTCATAAAACGGGAAATAAGCTTCCGAATGTCTTCAAATTTCACACATCCTAATATCTTTACTAGCATAAGATCTGGTGTAAAGATGGAGTATATCGGACCACCCCTTCTGGTACCTCCCCCACAAAAGGGTCAAAATTTTGAATAATTAAAAATCTCATAACAGGAGAAATAAGCATCCGATTATCTTCAAATTTTACACATCCCAATATTTTTAACAAAGCATATTCTGACGAGAAGATGGAATATATCGGACCACTCCTTCTGGTACCTCCCCCACAGAGGGGTCAAATTTTTTAATAACTAAAACGCTCAAAAAATGCGAAATGAGTATCCTATTATCTCAAAATTTTGCACATCCTAATATTTTTACTAACACAATATTGGGTGTGAAGATGGAATACCTCGGAACACCCCTTCTGGTACCTTTCCCACAAAGTGGTCAAAACTTTTAATAACTAAAACGCTCTTAAAATGAGAAATGAGCATCCGATTCTCTTCAAATTTCACACATCCTAATATTTTTACTAACATAAGATCTGGTGTGAAAATGGAATATATCGGACCAACCCTTCTGGTACCTCCCCCACAAAATTTTTGTGTTTTTTGCTTGATTTCTTGGAAACTTGGATTATCAATTTGTTTGACCTCCAGATATTGCCATTAAATAGTATGTCAATCATTGTTATGACAATTAATGCGATTTGTTTGATGACAAACTGATTGACAATTCCATAACAAAAACAAACACAACATCCTTTGTCCCCCACAAAGTCAAAATCGAAAATGCCAATCATAATTTAGGCTGATTGATTGAAAGAAATGAAGAAAGAAAGAGAGAAGAAAAAGAGAAAACATTCCCAATCGAATCGAAAAAATTAAACAACCACATTCACAACCATTCAAAATATCGCCATCCTTCCATGAACAATACATTACAACACTTAAACTCACTAAGCCTATGTATTGGACTAAATCTGACCAGGCTGACAGCATGGTCCTGCATGTCGTAATTGCGGCGGCGATCTCGTTCCCGGGCCATTTTGGCACGATGACGCAAACAGCAGATGACAATGAATGCCAAAATGGGAAAACCAAAAATGCACGACACAATGGGTATCACAATGGATTCCGGTGACACTGGAAAGAGAGAGAGAGACGGGGAGAGAGAGAGAAGAGAAATACATTAAGTATATCATAATAAGCTTAAAGGAATTGTTATGATATAAATACAAAACGCTTATAGTTATTAAAGGCAAACAGCCACCCCTCCAAGCTACTTGAGACCAAAAATTGTGTGGGTCGTCGGGGCTTTGCCAAAAAAAAAAGAAAAAAAACGGAATTAAAGGAAATGAAATGAAAGGAATTACAAAAATAACATCTCAATGAAACAGAGAGAGAGAGAGAGGGAGAGTGACCACAAAGCAATTTCGTCTTTCGTTTGTTATAAATTCCAAATATTAATAATAAATAATAGTTATTAAGGAAATTCTTGGTAGAGAATACTTTGGGGCGTATGACAAATATTATTAATACGACAAGTGGGGCGTATGTCTGATGTTATTACTTATACGCCCTAGGCATTTTAGCTGCTCTTTCTTAGGAAAATTTATTTTAATTATTATTTTGGCAGTATTTAGGATACAGTGGAACCCTTTGATAGAGAATTCGATAATATAGACCATAAAAAAAATTTTAAAAGTGAAGGAAGCCAAGTTTGCACTCTTCCCTACAAGGGACGGGATTTTTGTTCTCGGAAAAAATGTGATGAAAAATATTTTCTTTCTCTTCAAATTTCACAAGAGGCCATATTTTTACTAACACAAGATCTGTTGTGAAAATAGAATTTAACGGACCACCCCTTCTGGTACCTCCCCCACAAAGGGGTCAAAATTTTGAATAATTATAACTCTCATAAAATGCGAAACTATCATCCGATTATCTCAAAATTTCGCACATCCCAATATTTTCATCAACACAAAATGTGGTGTGAAGCTGGAATAGATCGGACCACCGCTTCTAGTACCTCCCCCACAAAGAGGTCAAATTTTTGAATAATTAAAACTCTTATGACATATGAAATAATCATCCGATTCTCTTCAAATTTCACATATCTTAATATCTTTACTAACACAAGATCTGATGTGAAGATGGAATATATCGGACCACCCCTTCTGGTACCTCTCCCACAAAGAGGTCAAAATTTTGAATAATTGTAACTCTCATAAAATGCGAAATTATCAACCGATTCTCTTCAAATTTCACATATCTTAATATCTTTACTAACACAAGATCTGATGTGAAGATGGATTATATCGGACTACCCCTTCTGGTACCTTCCCCACAAAGGGGTAAAAATTTTGAATAATTAAATATCTCATAACCGGACAAATCAACATCCGATTCTCTTCAAACTTCACATATCCCAATATTTCTTTGTACGCAAAATTCATTGTAAAGATGAAGTAAATCGGCCTTCCCCTTCTGGTACCTCCCCCACAAAGGGATCAAAATTTTGAATAATTAAAACTCTTATAAGATATGAAATAATCATCCGATTCTCTTCAAATTTCACACATCCCAATATTTTTACTAACACAAGATCAGGTGTGAATACGGAATATATCGGATCACCCCTTCTGGTACCTGCCCCACAAAGGGGTCAAAATTTTGAATAATTATGGAGCTCATAAAATGCGAAAGTAACATCCAATTCTTCCCAAATTTTCCACATCCCAAAATTTTTGGCAACACAAGATCTGGTGTGAAAATAGAAAATATCGGACCACCGCTTCTAGTACCTCCCCCACAAAGGGGTCAAATGTTTTAAATAATTAAAACTCTTATAAGATATGAAACAATCCTCCGATTCTCTTTAAATTTCACATATCTTAATATATTTACTAACACAAGATTTGATGTGAAGATGGAATATATCGGACCACCCCTTCTAGTACCTCCCCCACAAAGGGGTCAAAATTTTGATTAATTATAACTCTCATAAAATGCGAAATAAGCATCCGATTCTCTTCAAATTTCTCACATCCCAATATTTCTACTAACATAAGATCAGGTGTGAATATGGAATATATCGGACCACCCCTTCTGGTACCTCTCCCACAAAGAGTTCAACATTTTAATTAGAACACTCACACCCAGTATTTTATCATTCATCTACACCAACACCAAACTCTCATCTACGCCAACACCCCCTTCCCGTAGTCCTCTCTCTATTTTCTCCCCCACCTTATTTTTTATCCAATTAGTTTCGCTCATTTTTAATGTGACTTTTTATAGTTTGCAGTTTTTGGGAAAAAAACGAAAGCTATCCTTTTAGTTTTTAAAATCCTTTGCCTTGTTTATTTGTTTGTGCGTATGTGTATGTGTATGTGTGTAAATATTTTAGCTGTTCTATTTTTGTGAGGGCAAAATTGTAAACATTTCTAATTGCAAAACATATTACTCATTTGCTGGCACAAGTTTTTGGTCTTAGGAGTGGTTTATATTAGGGTGGGACGAAAGCAAAGCAAATCCTTAATTTGTTGGACAAAATAAAAATATGAAAAAAATGCTGCTCAATTTTTTTTCAAAATTGAAAAAAGAGTAAACATTGTAGTTTTAAGATCAGTATATTAGGGTGTGACGAAAAAAAATATTTTTTTGAAATAAAAAATTTTAAAAAATACTGAAAAAAAGTATATTTGGGTGTGACAAGGTAACAGATATAGTGGATCGAAGTATTTCACTTCGTATTAGGTTGTGAAAAATTTTAAGAAAATTGAAAATTGTTAATCCGGATTTTAATCTTTTGTGGGGGAGGTACCAGAAGCAATAGGCCGATTAATTCCATATTCATAACAGATATCTGAATGAGAGAAATATTCAGTTATACGATGTTTGAAAAGAATCAGTGACTTGTTTTGAAAGATATTAGAGTTATAATTATTCAAAATTTTGACCCCTTTGTGGGAAAGGTACCAGAAGGGGTATGCCGATCCCTATGATCTACACACCAGATTATGTGTTAGTAAAAATATTGGCATGTGTGAAATTTGAGGAGAATCGGATGCATAATTTTCCACTTTATGAGCGTTTGGGTTATTCAAAATTATGACCCCTTTGTGAGGGAGGTACCAGAAGGGTTAGGCCGATATATTCCATCTTCACACCAGATCTTGTGTTGGAAGAAATATTTGGATATGTGAAATTTGAAGAGGATCGGTTGCATATTTTCCATTTTATGAAAGTTTTGGTTATTCAAAAATTTGACCCCTTTGTGGGGGAGGTACCAGAAGGGGTATGCCGATACCTATCATCTTCAAACCAGATCTTGATTGAGTAAAAATATAGACATATGTAAAATTTGAAGATAATCAGATGAATATTTTCCATTTTATGAGCGTTTTGGTTATTCAAAATTTTTACCCCTTTGTGGGGGAGGTACCACAAGGGATGGTCCAATATATTCCATCTTCACACCTAATCTTATTCTAATCAAAATATTAAGATGTGTGAAATTTGAATAGAATCGGGTGATTATTTCGCATTTTATGAGAGTTATAATTATTTAAAATTCTGAACCCTTTGTGGGGGAGGTACTACAAGGACTAGGCCGATACATCCCATCTTCACAAAAAATCTTGTGTTGGTAAAAATATTGGAATGTGTGGAATTTAAAGAGAATTGGATGTTAATTTTGCAGTTTATGAGCGTTTTGTTTATTCAAAATGTTTACCCCTTTGTGGGGGAGGTACCAGAAGGGATGGTCCAATATATTCCATCTTCACACCTAATCTTATTCCAACTAAAATATTAGGATGTGTGAAATTTGAAGAGAATTGGATGATTATTTCGGATTTTGTCAGAGATATAATTATTCAAAATGTTGACCTCTTTGTGGGAGAGGTACCCGAAGGGATGGTCCGATATATTCCATTTTCACACCAGATCTTGTGTTGATAAAAATATTGGAATGTGTGGAATTTAAAGAGAATTGGATGTTAATTTTGCAGTTTATGAGCGTTTTGTTTATTCAAAATTTTTATCCCTTTGTGGGGGAGGTACCAGAAGGATGGTCCAATATATTCCATTTTCACACCTTAACTTATTCTAACTAAAATATTAGGATGTGTGAAATTTGAAGAGAATTGGATGATTATTTCGGATTTTGTCAGAGATATAATTATTCAAAATGTTGACCTCCTTGTGGGAGAGGTACCGGAAGGGATGGTCTGATATATTCCATTTTCACACCAGATCTTGTGTTGATAAAAATATTGAGATGTGTGAAATTTGAAGACAATTGGATGCTAATTTTGCAGTTTATGAGCGTTTTGTTTATTCAAAATGTTTACCCCTTTGTGAGGGAGGTACCAGAAGGGGTGGTTCGATATATCCTACCTTCACACCAAATCTTGTTATAGTAAAAATATTGGGATATGTGAAATTTGAAAATAATCCGATGCTTATTTAGCGTTTTATGAGCTTCATGTTTATTAAAAAAAATGACCTTTTGTGGGAGAGGTACCAGAAGGGATGATCCAATATATCCTACCTTCACACCAGATCTTATGTTGATGAAAATATTCATATGTGGGGAATTTGAACACAATCGAACCCTTATTTCACATTTTATAAGCGTTGAGATAATTCAAAATTTTGACCCTTTGTGGGGGAGGTACTAGAAGGAATGGGTCTATATTGTCCATATTCGCACATCACCCAGTACTTATTAAAACATTAGCATTTACGAATTTTGAACAAAATTGGATGTGAATGTTTCTTGTTATCTGAGGCAAATTATTTCCTTTGAAAATGTTGGCCTTTTGTGGGGAAGTTACCAGAGAAGTGGACCAATATGAACCATCTTCGAAGTGGCAAACGTTTTTCTGCTGAGATATTATTTTGTAGCTGACTAACCATAAATTGTCAGTAAATAATAATTTCGAATGTCTTTTCATATTAAAATTCTTTCTAAATATCTAAAAATAGCTAAATAGTTAAAAATAGTTAAAAATGTTTGAAAAATAAAATATTTCTTTAATAATTTTACCTAAAAAATATTTTTTTTTTTTTGGTTAGTTGAATAGGGTTTTTACTCAGCTGAATTAGGATTTTTTTCCAATTAAATAAAAATTAAA